GTAAAGAATTACTTAAGAGCTCAGGGGTAAAAGTAAGAGAATAGTCATTTTTGCAGTTGTTTCAGTATGTATAGTGACATTATGGGTTAAAGCCAGTAGGTAGAGAGTAGTCAAATTTTAAAACTTAGTATAATGTTATAATAGATTTACGAATAGCATATAATGAACAAATTCCTATTGAATTTTAGCCAGTATGGACTTTAATAAGAATAGTAACAGTTTGTGTTGATTGTTTTAAGTTTGTTATTGTTGTTTGTTGTGTTATTAGGTTTAATGTAATAATAGTACTTTGAGCTCATACAATTTGATAATTTTAGTGAAATATGAAAAATAAGAGACTGAAGCTAACTTAAGAGAAAAATCTTGATTTGGAAGATGAAGTAAGCAAAGAATAAGTTATAAAAATTGATAAAGGAATTTAAAAGCGGCAACTGAAAAAATTTTAATATGGATAAAAATCTCTGAATTAGTAAAAACTTTTAAAAAATAGACTGCATTTGAAAGATGGCTAGTTTTTCTTTATTTTTGGTAGTCCGGAATGCCAACAATAAAGAGACAACCAGTCTTTCACAGCTGCAAAAATAGATGAACTAGAAGTTTAGAAGCAGATATAAGAGAAAATGCAACTTAGTTCTCAGTAGATATAAAGAGAAAAGTTATACCCTCTATTGACTACCTGTAAAATCCAAAAGGTTAGACTTTCTTAAGTGCTAAGAAACAAAGCTGGTTTTTTTTTTAAAAAAAGCAAACTTTAAATTTGTCCCAAACTTAATGTTACAATTGTGGAAATTAGAACATTTGAAAAGAGACTGTCAGAAAGAAAGAAGGGAGAGAAAAATCCAGGCTTTCAGGGCTTTGTAGAAAATGTGGAAAAGGATATCATTGGACTAATGAATGTAGATCTTTATTTTATAAACAAGGTGTTAAGTATGGGTTGGGAAAATTCCAAGGGGGCCTGTCAGCTCGGGGCCCCACAACAATGCGAGCTGCCAGCAGTATCTCACTGTGATCAAAGACAGTATGTCTCAGACTTATTTCATGCCACCTTGGGAAGCGCAGCATTAAATATAGCTCTTACTGACAATATTACTCTTTTACCAGAATTGGGAGTTTATAAGATAGTGACTAATAATTTTGGACCTATTCCAAAAAATTGTGTTGGATTAATTATTAAAAGAAGTAGTTTAACTAGCAAGGGTATCTTTGTTCATCTGGGAATTATTAATTCCGATTATGAAGGAGAAATATGTATAATGGTATCTACTACACAGCCTCAGAATTTACAAAAAGGTCAAAGAATCACTCAGTTATTGTTGCTACCATATATTATTTGGGGAGTACAGGATCAAATATATATTGGAATACCATTATTAATGATGAAAGACCACAAATGATTGTCACAATCGAAAGGGCTAACTTAATGAATGGAAAAAGGGATTTGTTATTAGGTGGGGGCGAGGATTTGCTTACATCTCTACAGGATCAAAACTGCTGTGGGTGCCCTCCAGAAACGTGAAACCCCGAGATGAGTCAAAAGAGGCCACACTTTGACGAGGACGAAGCTGCAGAATGGCAGATAATACCAACTATTGGGCACATGTTTCTAATACTCTCTTATTAAAAGTTGTTCATTGGCTTTATAAAGTTTTGGGTAATAATATATCTCTCTAGTAGATGTTTCAAGGATATAGTTTTCATGGAGATATCAGTAACAACTTCAGATTATCCTGATATTCCTCCCTGTCAATTGCTTCCTTTATCTTTCTTAGAGTACTACTTATGCTAATAAAACTATCTCATGGCATGGAGGAGGAATAGTAGAACTGTATCCACATTTACAGCATTCTTATCAAAATAATTTACAAAAAAATAGGAATTGCATTGGAATATGTATCTTTGTTTTGGAAATTATTTGTACAATCATTGATAATGTTACTATCCTTAAACTTAAAAGATTATATTGTTCAAAATTATTTGTTATATATTTGATTAAATTTTTCCCTCTTTTAACAACTGG